CCAGCTGCCAACTCAGGTCAGGATGCTACCAATGACTGTGAGCTTCCACACCAGGAAAAGTACATGCTGAGTACAGACATCTTGCATGTGCCTCTCTGCTCTCACCAACTTGTGGAATCAGAATATCAAGGCTTGAGGGATGAGAGGGCCTTTGCCTGCCGCGGGATCCTCCATCATATCAGCTGCGAAGAACTATGAGTGGAATGGAAGGTACAGGGAAGGCAGGTATGGACATACACCAGTAGGCACCAAGAGAAAGAGGAGGTGTTTTGCAGTACTGCCCTCTTCCTCCTTACCTGATCACTACTCCCGGGCAGTTCTCTGGTGGGATAGTCCGAGGACTTACCACACCAAGGTGACCCCAACACTTCATCAGCTCATGACCAGAGCTTTAGATACTGCCTGAGGGGACACAGCTGGGCTCAGAGGTCAGTGTACATCAAGGATGGGAGTATTGATGCTACTCTGCTGTCTTCAGGGACCCTGACAGTCAGTGTGTGGTTAAAGGTCCCAAACATAAATGCTACATGCAGGGACAAAGGTGCAAGACAGAGACTGGGATCTCATCTATCAAGGAGGTCCAATTATAGCATAGGGGAACTGAAGCTCAGGCACGTATGGAAGAGGGGAGGCAGAGGGAGAAGCGGACTTGGCCTAGGTTGCCTGGCATGTGGAAGGAGCCAGGTCCTCGGGACAGGATTGCAGGAGTTCTAGGGTGGCTGCAATGGGTACTGTGCTGGAGGCTCAAACAGAAGTGTGATGCATGGTTCTGGAGGTCAGGCATGTAAATCTAGGTAAGTCTCAGCTGTGCTCCACCAGAAGGCTCTAAGAGAGGCTGAGGGCCACCCTGCCTCCTGAGGTTCTGGGTGTTTGAGGACAATCCCCAAGTTCTTGATTTGTAGATGTAGCACCCACAGGACCTATGTCACATGGCCTTTATTCATGGGCATTTATGTCCAGACTCCCTTTACTCGGACAGTGGCTATAATGGATAAGGGTCCACCTTCCTCTCATATGACTTCATTTAACTTGACTACATCTGCAGAGGACTTCTGTCCAAGTATACTTCCTGTTTCTCAGCAGGCTGTTCTTTTCCTGTTTTTAAAGATTTATCTTCTACAGATAGATGTGCATGTGCCTGAGTGTATATCTGCACAACACACACATGCAGGTGCCATCAGGGACTAGAAGAGGGTCAGATGTTAGATTCCTTAGAACTACAGCTACAGATGGTTGTGAGCTGCCTGATGTAGGTTCTGGGAACCAAATCCGGGTCCTCTGTAAGAAGAGCCAGTGCTCTACCACTGAGCTATCTTTCCCGTCCCATTCCATCTCTAACCCCAAATGCTTTATATCTAATACCATCTACAATAGATGCCTTTCCTGCAGACAGAAACAGCAGTGTAGGCTTGTGAATGGCTGGGAAGACACCATGGTAATAAGAAAAGTGGACTGGACTGTGTAGAGCCCACAATGCTCTCCGTAGACTCTTGACCCCAGGACAGGGTGCTGCTGTTTGGTCAAATCATGAGGGAGAAGCTATGTTTGCCTAACAGGCAAGGATCTATCCTGTTTGCAGAAAGGATAGTCCATTCTAAGTTAAGAGTGCTATGCCTGAATATTGCCTTAGAATAGCTGGGCTCAGCAGCTGAGGTAGCTCCCTGTCACTCTGAGAAGTTAGTCCTTCTGGAAGATGGAGTCTGGTTTGGGCCTAGAGCTCTTGTTTCATGTTTCCACACACTTGTCTCCAGCCACTCTTGCACACCAGTTTGACTGCAGTTTGGAGCACAACATTTTGGTCCCATGAGCACTCCACAGTGCCTGCATCCCAGGATTCTTTTGACATGGTATTTTGATAGCTAATGCAACAGGAGTCCAGGGGAAGTGCCTTCTCCCCACCACTGCACTGGCTTCCCCAAATGAGAATTTCTTCCTCATGTACCATGGCAGACTGGTATGCACAAGACTCTCTGCAGACCAACTCTCTAAAAGATGCCTGCAGGGTGGTCCTGGGCTGTTAGACCCTGGTCCCCCCAGCTCCTATTCTGCCCCGTGTTCTGCGCCTGATTCCTAGTTTCCTTTTCCAGTGGGTCCTTCAGGACACCATCCCTATCACATTTTGGTCTGTGGCCTTCTCTCCCCTTCCAGTTAATTATGGTATTTGTTGTAGAGAACACAGCATAGCTGGCATTGACCTGGGCAACAGGACAAGCAGTCTCCTACCAGCATTAGCACAGCTGTGAATCCGTTATTTATAGTGTTGCCTCTACCAGGGGCAGGACTCCAGCAGGGTCTGGGACCTCATGTTAAACAGGTGGAGTTCAGTTGAGACACCATGTCTCAACTGGGGTAGCTGGGTTGTCACTACTATTCACATTCACCATGGCTCCAGCACCTTTGTGACCCCTACAGACACCCATCCTTTTACAGAAGGGAAACTGAGGCTCAGGAGGACTGCCCAGGGCTGTGAGAGAGGAACAAAAAGCTGGATGGGTCCAGAAGCTCCCAGCACATAGGCCAATTGGTTGCCACTAGATTGTAAAACAGCAGGGAATGCTGGAGCCAGAGATCCTCCAAATGGTATGGACAGTGCAGAAGCCAGAAAGCTTTCTTCAGATGGTGGCCTGTCCACTCTGTGTTCCAGAACCATGGCAGAGGAGAGCCCTGTGTTCATCTGTCCAGGTTTGTACCCCAAAGCCATTGTGGCTTGCAAGGGTCTATCTGGTGTCGCATGCTTTATTTTTCTTCTTGGTTCCGCTGTGTGATTACGTGCCCCAAGAGACACTTACCCCCAGTGTCATCAGATGAGCATTGAGTTTCCTTCCTGGGGTAGGAGGCCCTGCTAGGCACAGACCAGACTCTTAACCCTGCTCAGCTTGACCATGCCCTGCAGTCTCCCACCAACATCTCAAGATTCACTCAATTCTGAGGCTTCCCAAGACCACAGGCCCAGCCTACTCCTGGTGCCTTGGCTCCTCCCAATATGGCCAGCAACGTGTGGACACCTTGACCAGCACTGAGAGATCTATTCTATGAGGTAGGGCTGGGTCTGTGCCCTTTTGGCTTAAGTCCCCAACGCCTACACTCCTGCCTGGGCCCTCTGTACAGAGGAATTAGTATTTGCTAGAGCATTTGTTTCTTATTATAACTCCATGCTCCTTTGTCCTTCTCGACCATTCCCCGCCCCACTCCCTACCGCCGCCAACTCCACCATCCTCATCTCTACAAACATACTGGGATATGGGAGGCATACCAGGATCATAAAATGACAGAAATTCCCACCGGAAGTACAAAAGGCATATCCCTGCTCCCTAGCTTTCTAGAGAGCGAAGAATCAGTCTTGCCTACTCCCCTAACCTGCAAACAGGCCCTGAAATTGCTCTGATCCATTGACATTCCTGAAGGAAGGAGGAGGCAGAGGGATCCACCTGCCAACTCTATCAGACAGCAGAGAGCTTGCTTGCCAGGACACGGGGGCATCGGAACACTTAAGGAGAGTGTCTCCCCAGGCGGCTGTGCAGATCTCATCTCAGACCCTCACTGCTACCATGGCATGGGATTGTGGGAAGTGTCCTAGTGAAGTACCGATCATCAGGCTGGCCCATCCACACCAGAACATGTGCAGCTGACCAAGCCAGACCACAGCCCATGCAGATCTGTTGGACAGGTGAGGAGTCCCTTCCCACTGCACTGCTACCAACAGGGAGGATTTGACAACAGCAGGGGCCTGGCTCTATCCATAGCTTTATTGGCCTGGGAACTGTGGTGGGTCAAAGACAAGAGGCAAACAGAGCTGACACAAAGTAAGGAAGTTTTAAGGAGTCATGAAGTCCAGTTCTGGTGTTCAGCAGCCAGGAGGTAACTTGAACAGCTGGGTCCTTGACTCTGCTTCCCACCCAGCACCACTCACTACTAAACCCCAGATGAAAAGCAGGGTTTTGAAATCTGAGACGTAAGTCTTTGTCTTGATCTCTGCAGACAAGCTTGGAGGGTGGGGCACGATCCAGTCAAGGGAGCCCTAGCATACTGGCATCAGATGCACAGAGGCCCATCCTCCTATAGCTATGCTTTCCCTGATGCTTCTGCGGCTCTCCCTTTCCACCCTCCTTGGCAGTGTGTCCCGTCACTCCTGTAGGACAGTAATTAAGGTCAAAACGGAGCATCTACTCATGCTGATGTGGATTAGCTCAGAGTCAATACCCAGACAGCAGCACACTCTGCAAACTCTGCCATGCCACAGAGAAAGCTGAGGCTGGCCTGTGGGAGCAGCAAGAATCCCAAGGAGGAGTGAGTCGGTTTAGAGCTACACCCCTTGAGTGCCTATCAAGCATGCTAAGAAGTTCTGTGGGGGAGATGTCCTGTCCTCTTCCTGTCCTGGGAGCCCCACAGGCTACTCAGGTAAGGGAGCAGACCACACCTGTGTCTGCGCAATGGATGGCGTCCTTGTAATTCTGTCCCAGACGACCTCACTCAGCTGGGGTAAAGATCAAGGAGTAAGAGAGGTAAAAACCTGAGTCCAGATCCATGTGGGCAGCTGCCTGAGGGCTAGAGATGCTTCCCACCACTTCAGTAAGGAGGCAGGGAGCCACCTTCAGGATATAGGAGCAGCACGGTCCTATCAGAGGCTCAGGCTATAACAGTGACAGCCACAAAGGGACAGGGGAGCAAGAATGAGCCTTCAAATAGTCTGGGGACTGTAAAGGGTAGCTAATGCCCAACATTACCCCGAAAGGAATTATCAGATGTTCATGTACACACACACACACACACACACACACACACACACACACACACAGAGAGAGAGAGAGAGAGAGAGAGAGAGAGAGAGAGAGAGAGAGAGAGAGAGGCATGCACACATATACACATGTGCACACTCACACACATTCACATGCACACACTTGTGCACACACACACACTTCATATATTACACTCATGACTCACTCACATACACATATACTCACACTCACCCACACACTCACAAACACAGGACAGAAGTCCACCTCCAGAACATAAAGCCTTCTCAATCCAGTAGTAATAGGTATTGGCTGTGCCACTCATCACTGGGCTGTTCTCCCTGCTGCAGGGACAGTGGATCCTGAGCAACCTGGCTTGGCATCTTCCTGAGTTTCTCTCATCTGGAAATAAAAGAGACAGTCAGGGGCTGAGCACCAGGGCAGGCAAACTGATTCCAGCAAGACCTGAGCCTTTCAAAGAGGGCCCTAGAAATGCGTGGGGGATCAGAGGGTAGGAGGCATTGTATTAGCAAGGAAACTGAGGGGCCAGGAATAAAGGAAAAGGGAAGAACCCTGTGATTCTCACTGGAACTTCTGTAGAGGATACGAATCTCAGTATGCAGGACCTAACTAAGGGGTGGAATGATAAAGTGATGACCCCTTGCAGACATTTCAGGACCTGGCAATCACGGTTCAGAACACCAAGGGCCCTGAGCACTCTGGTCCACATAGCAGTTAATCACTCACATATGCCACTGTGCCAATTGACAACTTCCCTGTGGGACTTTCAAGAATGGCAACTACTGGAGAAAGAAAAAAATCAGAGATATCAGGTGAAAATCCATTAGTCCAATTGTAACTTCTAGTACCAAAGAGGCAACCCAGTGATGCTACTGAATGGGAACATTCAGATGAATAGTGCACAGGTTCTGGGGCATATGGGAATACCTGGGATATTATAACATACCAGGATGAGTGGCCATGGAGTAGCTGTGAGAGGAAGGCACCGTCTTCCCAGCTCTGCAAGAAAATCAGTAGGGCTGCCATTCTATACCCAGCTAAAATACCATACTCTGCAGATCCAGCAGGTTCTTCACCCTTACACTCTTCTTTCTTCCATGATAAATTAATTCAAGGGATGCTCATGATGCTTAAACAGTCAACAACTTCCATTTAATTAAATGTTGACACTATTGCAGGGTCAAGCCAGGAGCAAATGTGTGTGAAGCACGGCAACTTCCCATAAGCTGTCTTCCCCAGGTAAGATGAATATCTAGGAACCCAAACCGAGAAAGTAAGAGGTTTTAGTCAAGGTTCAAAGGTGGTCTGTGGATGAAGTCTCTCCATGTTGGCTGATCTTGGGGAAAGACAGTGCTAGCTGTTCACTAAAGTTGCCTCACTGATGCTACCTCTTGACCTTGGTTTTGGTGTCCACCCCACCTGACCAGAGAGAAAAGTCAGACCCTAGAAGGTGTGGCGATTACTTCACAGGCATGCATCTCCAAGTACAAGACTTGGGTTCAGAATCCAAGTGGTCTGTCCCACAGCCCCTCATCAGATGTAGCTTGGTTCATGGTACCCTCTTTTTGCCCTTGTAGACCTGGGCCTAGGGTCAGGCAGCTGAGCTGATGATGTTCTCACTTCTGGGTGGGATTAGCACCAAGATGGTATAGGGAAATGTGTATAGGAGGCAACCATGTCCTGTCCTGTAGAATGGGAGGTGTCTGAGTCTCCACAGGCCTCAGAGGCCAAGGTAATCACCAAGAGCAGCCCGTCTGTTGGTGAATGAGTTAGGTGAAGGTTTATTGGCATCTGGGAGATTCCTCTGCCAAACAGCATCCTTCCAAAACTGGTGTTCATGAGGCATCTCTGCTATGGGTAAAGGCAGTAGGGTAGACCCCATCAATGAGAGTGAAGGACATTCTAGGCCCAAACCCAGGCAGTCACACTTTGTAGGTAGACATGGGCACTAGGAGTTGGAAATGCCCAACAGAGGACAGAAGTCCAGGCTCCACCTGGTCCTGGAGGGAGCCGGGACTCAGGACCTACTTGTCATAGGCTGTTTCTTCTGGGGCTAGGAAGCCTGGCAGAAGTGGGGGCTAGTTTTCCCATCTTCTGTGCAACTGGACTCAAAGATGTGATTTAATAAGCACGTTCTGCTCCTCCAGGCTTACGTGTCTCTGGGATACAGACGATTCACGAGTGTTTTCTGATAAATACCTGTGTGCAATGGTCCCCCCGGCCTCTTAATTTATGGGTAATGAGCAATGACAGTTTGACTTAACAAGGCTTAAGATTTCCATTCAAACAGATAAGTTAGCACAGCCTGTCCCGGCCTTTGGAAATGGCGTTTCGTGGCCTTATTTATTATCCTGAGTAGAGTCGCCAGGGGCCCATAAAGCCTGCTACGGAGAAGCCATGGTTCATAATGGTTTCCATCATGGAAAATCACCCTCATACAACTTGGGAGGCGCTTCACAGCCGTCAGGGCTATGACAAAATGCCTGGACCCAGAGTTTTTGCATTAACTGATGAAACAGCAGAATCGTCAGGTCAGGACCAACGGCTCCCACAGCCTCCTAATGTGCCAAGCACTTCACCTGGGGCTCCACTTTAACTGGGCTATATCGGGTGCCCTCCCGAACCCCATCCACAGACCCCTTCCTATCGCTGAGCTCCAGGGCCCCATCTTGGGACTGCTGCAGCATGAGGCTGGCCCAGTCCAGATCCTCCCATAGCGTGAGCTCACAGCACACAGGCTTTAGGCTCTGATAAGCACAGACTGATGTGGGTGCACACACACAAGTGCCCCCAAACCTGCGTGCAACAGCATTTTAAGGGGGGTCTGTATTTGAAGTGTCCCTCCCGCAAGAACCATTGTTAAAAGAACATTCCACATCCTCTCTGTAAACCAAATCACAATAACCCCTTCATAGGAAAACTGCCCTAGATAAAGGAGCTGTAACCAACACTGCACTTATTTTCCATAAAAGCCACTATTAAGGACGGCAGACCCACAAATGCACACAGTGATTAGTGGGCAATTACAGGATTATGGGTGGGCAGAGCTAGGGCAGAGCACGTTAGCAGTCCTGAGCAGTCATGTGGGTGAGATTCAGCCACCCTAAGAGGCTCTAGAAGAATTATCGGTTCCAGGGTCCACACCTCCTGCCTCTCACCATGACTCCCTCCCTCCCAATGTTATAGGATGAGCTGCTGGAGGTCTGGATGGCCAGATCGGGCAAGCTGCTTGTAAGCTGAGGACAGAGGTGGCCTGGCCTGGAGACACAGTGGAAGGGCCTGATGTCTAGGGGTTTATTTCCTGGTTTCTACTAACCAGAGGCTGCCTGGCCTTGGAGTATGGGAGTGACAGATCAACAGCTCAGCTTTTCAACAGCCTTCAAGGTGACCAGCGGGCTCTCTGAGCATACAGAGCAGGGGCTGTGGAGCAGGGAAGAGGGAGCATCCAGCAGATACCCTGCTTGTCATAGTGGCTCCGTGTCAAAGGGACCATGAGACCTGCTTCTGAGCCACATAAGACATCCTTTTAGGGAAACTGAAACCCTCCTGGGAAGAAAGAAATAGGGACTATTTCGTGATTCTAAAGAACATGTCCATCTAACTGTGAAATCCCAAAGGCAGGGTGCTCCCCTGGCCACAAGAGATGTTTCACTGAGAAGTAAATTCCACTCCAATGACTGAGGCACATGGGCTGGGGACACCAGGTTATGGGGACAGGGGGCTCTGCCCCTACCAGGGATGTAAGATGTGGACATTGACAGACAGCCACAAAATCGAGGTTCTACATTTTGAAGGCCACAGCTATGTAGGCTTCAAAAGAAGAAATGCTAAGGAGTAGGGGACACCTGTACCCGAGTGGATTTGCATGTTTCCCTACAGATGGAACTCCACATGCTGATCTAGCCCACAGCTGCATCCTTCTTCCTAAGAGTCTGGAGATGAGGCAACGCCTTGGTCTATTCATCTGCCAGGACACATCATCATAGACCAGGCACCTTGCAAACAGCACAGCTCTTTTCCATGATTCCAGAGTCTGGAGGCCAGAGTTGAGACATCAGTAGATTTGCCATCTGGTAAGGACCTGTCTCCTGGTTCACGGGTAAAGTACTCTGAAGCTTCTCTTTCATAAGGGTCAGAACTTAGAACCTAATTGCTGGGTCAAAGACCCTACTTCCTAATCCCATCATGTGGGGGAAGGATTAGGATTTCAGTTTTGGGATAGGTGAAGCATAGACATTCAGATCAGGGCTAGCCTATTGGGTGACTCACTCTATCTCTTTTTCCTCCAATTCTCTGCTGCTGAGACAAAGTGGATCAGCAGCAGGTGCCCAGCCCAAGAATTCAGCTTCCACCTCTATGCTGGGGCCTGATCTGCTAAAGACCCCAGCGTGTACAGGCAGAAAACTCTGCAGCCTTGGCAGTCGGAAGCCATTGGCTCTTGTCAGGAGTCAGAATGGAGGAGAAATTGAATTAAGCGGGCAGCAGTTATAATGCAGTGCGGAGCACCAGGGAGCATCAATATTCAAGCAGAGTCCACAAGATAAATAAACATCAACGGGAGAGAGCAGGCGCAGAAGCGGGGGAGCACTGACGTGGAAGACTCCTAACACCCAATATGCAATTCCCGTGTCAGAACCCATAAGGCTGCAAATACATCAAGCTCACAGTTACACTATTTCAGGAAATGTAATTCTATTAGAAGTTTTCCAATCTTTCCTCCCTTCTTCCCAGCCTGTCTCCCAGTGCTGGCCGTGGCCCTTTCCACTATATCACGCACTAACTCACAGGTAGCTGGACAAGACAGGTGGATAATCACGCCATTAGGTGGCAGTGACCAAGCTGGGCAGGTATGAGACTGGCTCTTAGCAGGTATCCTCTGTGACACCAGACACCCTTGCCAACACTGGGCAGGCAGCAGCACAAGGGCCAGTGGCTGCCTCACCCCAGCACTGCAGGGACACCCTAGAAATAGCTTTCCTCGTAACCTGCTCAACTTCGCCACATAGGATCCAGTTTCCAGGAAAAGAGTCTATGTGGTGAGAAACATCTGGCTGACTGCTGGGTAGATGACTCCTTAAGCTTGTCCTACTTCCTCTCATGAAGATCCCAGCCATTAGACATGTGGTAGTGGGTCAGGCCAGGGCAGGCCAGTCAAAGCCTTCATCTTAGGAGGGCCTGTGGAGTACTTCCCATACAGTGTTGACAGAACATGTGCAGCCTCAGTTCAGCTGTTTCTCACCATGGCAGCAAGGGGACCATCCTACTGCTGTCCTCAGGGATGGCAGTTTGAGGAGCTATGCTTTGTGATACTGCAATGGTGACCTATGACACTGATAAAGCCCAGAGTCCATCACATCACACTAAGGGGAAATATGCAAACTATGCTTCTGGCTAGTATAATGATAAGCTCCACCTAACTGATCTCACTGGTGCATGGGAACATGGGTTGGGCAAGGAAATCTCTCCGGCTTTCTACTCTCTTTTTCTACAAACCTAAAACTCCCCTAATATAAAGTCTATCATTAAAACAAAATACGCTGGTCCCACCCAGACACAATGGGACAAGCCAGGTGATCCACAGCATGTCTCTCAGCTAAGGCTCAGCATCTTCCCCTGGCGGGCAGGATGGGTTCCAGGGGCTCACCACATAGTTGCAGTCCCTAGAGGAGAAAGACAGAAGCTCCCTGCAGGGCCAAGTTCCCTTCCAGACAGGCACACTGTGGCCCCTATCACACGGAGGGGTACACTGGTCCTCACTTCTGCTCTCAGGAACACAAGAGCAAAGGCCAAGGGCTTCTCAAGGCAGCACACATACCAATGCCCTGTTCACGGGTAAAAGTATCCTGTGTTATTACGAGCTGGGTATAGGAGGGTGATGGGGAAGGAGAAGCACCGGCCCTCCCACACGCACATTGCCAACTCCACCCCGGATGTTTCTAGAGGCGGAAAGGGAAAAAGGAAACAGAAAGGTTTGTTAGCTTTTCAGGGGAGGGAGGAACCCAGAGACACAGGGTAATCTGTGAGTGATGGCAGCCTCCGCTTGCAGCTGATTAGACAGTACAAGATGATTAGCTAATTAGACATAATATAATCAGAGAAAAAGGCCCATCTCCTCCATTCCACCTCAAAAAAAAAGTGTTTTGGGACGTTACACAAAATCATCATCTCAAGGAAATTGCTAGAACTTTCCAACAAGTGACACCGGATCTGTCAGGTTTCCAGTGGCAGAGAAAAGGGGAATCGTGAGCTCTGTCTCTTACCACAGAGGACAGGGATTGGAGATAAACAGGGCCCAAGTGCAGGACCCGGGCACAGGCTCTGTAGAGCAAATGAGGCCATCCCTCTCCACACAGTTAGATGGTGTTTCCTACACAGGACAAGCACAGGGCCTGTAAGGCCAGACGTTAGGTGAATCAGACCTAGAAGATTTCTCTTGATCAAATTGTCCTATTATTAGTCAAAGGGCAAGGCTAGCCACCCATCAAGTGAGGGCACAGGCAGTGGACTCCAACGCAGAAGGCAGAGGGCCTCCGGCAACACATCTAAGAAAGGACCCAGGGGCCAGCAATGGGCAGAGGGCAGGTGGGGACAGTCTGTGGAGGTGGCCACTTAACTCCTCAACAGGGCAGGAGAGCATTTTCAGTGTTAGCACTCAACAGAGAAAGCCGAGTCATCACCACCAGGATACCTCAAGCGCTTCCGAGAGAGTGGCTAAAATTAAAGACTGAGGATGGCGGCAAGTGCTGGCAAGGACTTGGAGCCGATGGCGGTCCATGGCTGCAGGTGGCATGTCAAACAGCACACCTTCTTTGAACAACATTTGGCAGTGCTGATCATCCCTGACTCACGGCTCCACCACTTGTCGGTATTCCTAGAGAGAAATGAGCACACACGGCTACCAAAAGATGCAGGGGCGCGTTCCCGGCAGTTTGGTTCGTCATGTCCTAGAATTCAGAACAGCCTACATGCCCGTCTTCCGTAGAGTAGACAAACACAACCGTGTGGTCCCAGAACAAAACTGGGCATTGGAAAGGGCTTCGAGACACACTGCTACACGCGGTGTGGATGGCTCTCCCAGATGGCACATGGCGATACCAGAGGCAGACGAGTGAAGCAGCAACCCCACATCCAGGGAAGCAGACATGGGACAGCAGAGACTGCCAGAGCTCAGAGTTCAAAAGCACAGCACATGAGCACACACGCCTATCATAGGCCTCAGCCATGGTTTTTTTTACAGAGTAATCACTTATTTTGAATCTGTAGTTTCATGGGGCACTACAGTCTCTCTTTTAAACATGTCTACCCAGGTGTGTTTGTGAGCCTGTGTAATGATGTATGGAGACGCTGCTCAGTACAGATCATCTGAAGATGTGGGAATACGGTTCTTACGTAACAGTTTCCTCCCAGGTGAAACCTTCCATCGTGGATGATCTAAAGGGAGGTGAAACATCTACTCTGCAGGGAAGCACATCAAACTCGGAAATAAACAACTCAAAGGCATGAGGAAGTCCCTAAAACAGATCAGATTCACGATGCCCCTCACTCTTCACATTAAAAGACCCTCCCAGACAATCCAAGCTGCCTGGAAGAA